TATATATATATATATATATAAAATAAAACCTTGTCTATCATATTTTTCTCATAAAATGATTCCTCTATCTATAGTGAAGAGGGTATAGATTGTGACCTTATATTTTTTTCTCTACTTTAGCGGACCGTTACAAATTATTCTGTGTACTTTACATAGATGAGTCTATTGCTTGGCTACATATGACTCGGTCGGCTATGCTAGTATGACTTCAACTCGATAAAGCCAATTCAATCGGTTGTGTTGATTTGTGATGTATGTCAGCTAAACTTGGTTAGCTCTAAGTCAACTGGACTGGCTCCACAACTATATTTTATCGATCGATTGATTTAGTCCAACTATCGACTCTTGATTGTTAGGTGAGGAGCTTTTGTCAACGGAATGAGAATAGGTCGTTTAGTAGAAAGTGAATCACTGTAACCTGATAAAATAGTTGATTCTTTGATGAAGGGGTCCTTCGGGATGACTGTGAGGCTCTGTTGTATTGTCAATAATTGGTTTCCGTTGAAGAATCTGATAGGCATCTGTGAGATGACTGTTGATGCTGAGGAGATGGATTCTTTCATCATATTAGATCTATCGATATGCAGGTCGGTGCATTCGCTCGGCTTTCTGTGATAGTTAGTTTGAGTGCTTATCTGGTTTGATTTAGTTTGACGGCTCAGACTCGTGCCTTTTTTAATGTCATTCTCTCGACTCATTGACATTTGTCATTTGTTCAAGCGGTCTATACTCAGCCGGCCTTCAGTTCCGATTTAGGTGGCTATATATGTTCAAATTAATGGGTTCTTTGGTCTTTCTTAGTGGCCCTCCTTCATTGTACTTCATTCATTCTGAATTATTGGATCGCCATGAGGTATGTTCAGGCACATTACAGAGGTAAGACATCAAATAAATATCTATCTTATCAATTTGCCAAATTTAATACCCTCCCAAAAAATTCTTACCAACACACCATCGAAACTTGAATGGCGTGTTTCGGGTAGCACACCGCAGTTTCCAAAACCATGTAATCTAACGTTTTGAAAAATAATTGTAATAATCAGTACAACTTTTTGAATAGCAGTTTCTCTTATAAACACCTGCCTTGGACAGACCTTTAGTACAAATGTTGATGCACCCTTTAAACTTGAACTTTAAGAATTACCTTCAAAACTATCTAAATTTTGATTTCCGTAAATTAAAAATCAAACGAACAATTCAATAAGTTGAATTGGGCGTTAAATATATAAATAAATAAATGTGTGGTATGCAAGTAAATTTCTCTATAATTTATGGTAAAATATGTGCAATAAATAAATAATCGTATAAATATTGTATCATTCTCATCTGAAAACAAATTCTAATATGTTGATTAAAATGAATGATAATATTTAAATAGATTATTTGTTTCATTAAATATCTATTTTATTTTCAGCACATAAATAAAAAACTTGACAATAAATTAAAAAAAAAAAAGTGAATTATTTTCAAGAGGCATATGAATTTGCGACGGAAGATTTGGAAGCTGCTGGAGAGGTACCTTGAGACGAACTTGCCGCGGCATTGGGTCGTCTGCAGCATTGGAAGGATTATGCGACTAAGGGTTTATTTGCGGCAGCGGCTTTATGAATAAACTTTGGAAGACATTAGCTCCATAAAATTTGCCAAATAAAAAGTTTTGTAGAGATTGGTCTTGGCTTCCAACTAAGGGTCGGTTTGGGGCAGCTTATTTTATATGGTGGCATTTTGAAAATACATCTGACCTGTTTTGGTAAACTGTGTTTTGACAGCTTATGCATTTTAAAAATGCTGAAAATAGCGTTTTCACATTGTGTCTATCTAGGTACGGTGTCTGCTTACTGGCAACGATTTGACTTTTCCAAAAAAATAAAAATTTGTAATAGCTACCGCACCCAGCTTATCAGCAGATTATTTTTAATCAGTTTATCCACAAATTTTTCAATAAGCTGCAGTTGCCCCAACCAGTAAATAAGAGTACTAAAAGGATAGGTGGAGGAAGTATAGTTATTATTATTATTATTTATGTTTAATTTCAGGACTTTCTGATTGTATTTTATTTATTTATTTATTTTTGCAATAAATTTTTCAAAGTGAAAAAATTGAAAATGTCGTTATTTAGAATTTTAAGTTGCTGCTTCATAATATGCAACGCTGTGGAATAAATTCACTTGACAGTACTCGAGAGAAATAGTTTTGAGAATTTATTAATATGATGAAGGAAATATTGTGAGAAATTATATGATTATTGCGTGAGAAGCAGAGTTGTAGAAAGATATCTTGATTATCTCTTAAGATTGTTGAGAATCACTTTGTGTTATGTATTTTTATTTTGTTATTTCATATTATATTTGTTTGACTTAATTTAAAGTTGTAGGTTGTTTTTACTTTTTTGTGTTTAGTTAATTTACGATATACAATATAATTTCAAGTTATTGGTTGTGTCTATGCGTATACATTGACTTTCTAAGAAGTTTCTATATATATATATATATATATATATATTAAAAATAAATAACATTTGATAAACTTAAACAGAGTAGTCTAGAAAATACTATACTTGGCACTGCCAAAATATTCTACGCTGGTTTCTATAGTAATATACTACTACCCACCAGATTTTATCATATATCTGGTCAGCATAACATATAAATACATAAAATGTGGCTCAGATAAAATATTAGGTGCGGTCGTGCGGACGACAATTCGAATAGGCCACCGTGATATCCACTATGAGGTCGCCGTATGGGAAAACATCGGTACATACGATCATAATTTTCCCTCTGGTATAGAGAAGGGAGTGATAGAAGCAAAGAGATTCCTATAAAGGCAAGAGAACCTTTGGAGATGAGAAATCCCAACTCTGTGGGGCTAAGTGATTTATGGATATTACATTTACATCTTCTCTAAGCGTCATATAATTTTGCTATGTATAATATATCAAATATATTTATCTAATAATTTAATTATATTTTTTAATATTTTCAAAATAATGTCTGATAATTAATTTCCCGTTAGTAATTGGTCATGGGGCCTGAAGTTTCTACCGCAGACTCGGTAAAAGGAAAAAACAAACAAACTGAAGCTTTTTGCAGCATTGTGCTAAGGAAAATTTACACACATACCACACAATTTATATGTATTTACACATATAGTCCCTAAAGTTCAATACTTACCAGCATAACACTTAAATATCATACATTTATAACAATAGCAATTTTTTTAATGTGATAATAGTGTAAATGCATAAGAATTGTGTGGCCTGTATGTAAATGCTCAAATCCGGATAGAAATCCTCGACTCCCGCTCTTCACCTCCCCTGTTCTTCGTCGGCTACGCTTCTCCTCCATTGCTGCTTCACCGCCACCCATCACTTCTCATCCAACAATGTCGACGGATCAACCAGCCGACGAACCAGAAACAATGCCGAGCAGCAAGAGGCGCAGAGTAGATCCCACTAACACCCGACCAGGCCTCCTCTTCCTCGCCAGACTCGCCGGCTCCTGCAGACGCTACGAGCACATGTATCATTACATGAGAAGCCTCGTCCAACTCATCACTCCCGATCAACCTCTTACATCCGAAGAGCGCAATTGTTTCGCCACCGCTTGCTGTTCCCATGTCAAACGCCGACAAGATGCTTACAATTTCATAGCCCAAGCAGCCGCCGATCCAAGAAGAACCGATCAACGGCAGAGGGAAGCCGCCATGGATTACCTCTCGCTAATCTCGTTGGAGATCCACGTAGCCTGTATGGATATCGTGAGGACTATCGATCTGCACCTTTTGCCCCAAACTGATGGGCCGCCCGTCTCAGCGGACGATCTAGTTCTTTACAAGCTTTTGAAAGGGAATTTTCTAATGTGTGTTGCGGATGTGAAGGGAGGGATGGAAAAGCACACCTACACAACTGCTGCGATTGAATGCTTTGAATCCGCCATGGTGAGACGGTGAAGCCGATCTCGGTTGTTGAAATATTGGATTCACGAATTAATTTCTTGATTCTCTTGATCTGCATTCAAATCACTGAATCGGTTGATTTGATCCGCCTTCTAATTAAGCTTGTATTCTGTTCCGATGTTCTGCTAAATAGGGTTTTGGGTAGATTTTAATCTGATCGGATTTGGTTTAGAAAATTTTGAAGGTTTTTATTGGATCTAAACGGTTTGCTTTGCAGGTTGACGGAAAGGACTTGCCATCGTCGAGTTCAGCGGGTCTTAGCTTGCAATACAGTAGGGCAGTGCTCTATAGCAGTGCGTATGGACAGCCGCATAAAGGTTATAAGATTGCGCAAGAGGTTCGCTTTTTATTTTTTTCCTTTTTTTTTTCTTTTTCTAATGGGATAATTACATATAGACCACTGCCAACATTTATATTTACAAATTAACAATGCAGGTGATTTTTTTTAACCACCAATCACGTGTATTTATGCGTGCCACAATCAATTATTGAGAATTTGATTTAAATGAAAATTATGAAAAATTTTATAGCATGAGTCCAAGTATCATTGAATTTAGTTTTACATTCATCTCTAAATAAATCCAACATATTTAAGACTCAAATTTAATAAAATATTGATAATATGTATTGGCTTAATTTTAATTTGTATTTATAATTTGCAGGACATCTAAATAAAATGATAGTTAATACATCATCCAAAAATCTAATTGATTGAGTGTGAAGGTTGATGTAATATTTAAATTGGGAAGTTTTAGAATTGAGCTCAAAAGTTTCTGAATTTTGATTTTAACAAACTTAAATTCAAAATTAAAATCACGATGAGATGAATCCAACAACAAAAAAAAATGATTAGATATTAATTAAAAGAAGCTCGAATCATCAATTTGAAGTGGGAGTAGAAATTTTAGGATATTAATTAAAAAGTTTAATGATATATGAATCTTGAATATTTATGGTTAAATTTAGTGTTCTGATGAAATATATCCAAAAAGCTAAAGATCACTCAAGTTAGTGATCATTAAAACATTAAAAGAAGACATATAATCAAAAGAAATAATATCTGTCATATGAAATGTTTTGGACTTTGGCAAAAAATAATTAAGATGATACTTTTAAAATTTTTAAAAAACCTTAATTTTTTATATGAAGGGGACAAGAATTTGAAGAAGAAAAAAGTGCCTAAAGATTTAAGCAACACTAGAGTTCTATTAGACAACCAACGCTAACAGCAACCAACACTAAAAAACATGATTTTACTTGAATCATCTAAAAATCATCATAGACTTATCAAAATCAACTGACTGTTGTTGTCTGATTATTGTTGACTGATAGAGCTATCTGATTGTTATTTTTGAACCATTGTCAATGATCTTCGGATTGAATTGTTGTCATTCGATCCCTATCGACAGACTATCATTATCACTCATAACAACTTTAATGTTGTCTTCTCCAATTGAGGAGGATTTATAGCTTTATTTATATAATGGATAATTTCATCTACGTTAGACCCAACCCTTTTTCTCATAATTTCCACTTGTGATTTTTTTTATTCATTCATTTAAGGAATCAACGTGCATGATTAGGCTTATAAACTCTCTCTATAATCACAATTTTTTTAGCTTGCAATAGATTTTTCGTTGTTATGGTAACTCACTTTCAATATTTTACAAATATTTTTTCTAATTATTGAAAACCAATCTTTTAATAAAAAAAAAATCATTATCCACATGATTAAGCTCATCAAGGTATAAATTTAGATGATTATCCTTCCAAGATAAAGGGGTAACAAGCTCAAATTGTTTTGCTTTTGCCAGAATATATCCAATAAATGATAAAATCTTTGCACAATCAAATTTGATTTCAATAAGATTATAAGTAGTCTAAGTCTAATCGATTTGATGGCTTCCATACAAGGTCTCCTTTTTATTATACTGAAATTCCTCCCTCATAACCTCACCAATTTTTTTTTTTTTCGTTGCTCATTCCAACTTTAATATTTCATGTCACCTATCCAAGTCATAATTTCTTAACAACTTTGGTAGACCTGACCCAACATCGTTTCATTAACACTCTTACCATAAGAGAAACTTTAATGTCTAGTTTATGAGGAATTACTTTTTAGGGATAAAAATTAATTTGTTCACTATTCTAGTTTTTTAACAATCTTAGCCTCTGGTCGATGCTATTCTCAAATATCAATTTTCAATGTTGTTTAAGTTACTTATTAAAACATCTATGATGAGTTATATGATTCTTATGTGTACATCGATCATAAAGGGATTATAATGTATATTCAATTGATCTCTTCTACATTCCTCAAGTAGATCTTCCTAGCAACTCTTAAGAATGAAGTCAATACTTGATTATATTCTTCCTTTAGTACGACGGTCTATGACTTTATAAAAGTCGCCAAACTTTTCATCTAACAATTTATCTTAAATCGAAAGATTATCAAGAAATTGACTCTTTTGGGAATATAAAAGATAAGTCTTAAAAAGCATATTTTGATTCATGCAATTTGAATTAAATGTATTGGTAAACGTCATAAATTTTGCTATTTTATCTAATTTTCAAACCTAGATACCTTTTATTGTCTAATACAAATTTTTTATTCATTAAAATATTAATTTGAATACATTGAATAGCTTGGTTGACAAAATAATTATTAATTTCATGCGTAAAAATTTATTGAGGGTGGGTTTGTAATGACCAAAACATCCTGAATTTTGAAATTTCCCCATCAAGAATAGAAAATTTTGTAAATTTTTCTCAAGCAAGTTTATAGTTCTACCCTCCCTCGATAAATTTTTAGCCCAATATTTTAAAAAAAATAAAATATTTAATAATTTTGCCCACCCTCAAGAAAGAAGTTGGTTCCACACATGGCGAGAAGATGGTTCCGCACATGGCGAGAAGAAATAACGGCTTGATGATGATGATGATATATATATAGTGAGGTATAAGGGTCTAATGATATATGTGAGTAATTAAAAGGTATAATGGGTGAAAAATTTAGAAGGTATAATGGTGTGGGAGACAAAATTGATATGAAGTGTTCTTAAAAGCTATTATTTAATTCCATTATTATGATGCAAATGTTATATTAAATTTTAAATTTTATGTGGTAATCTATGACATTTTCTTAAGATAAAATTTTATGCTGATACATAAGAATAAATATAATAGAATATTTGATATGTCAAGTCATTATATTAAGTATCATGAAACATTTTTATTTTTTTTAATATTTTAATATATTTTATTGTTCATAATATGATAACAAAATTGGCATACACATTATTTTTCTGTTGTACATTAGAAATTTAAGAAAAACGCTGTAGCTACTGATGAGTTATTGATGCTCATTCTTATTTTATTTGCATGTATATTTTGGAAAGAGTAAATGAAAAAAGTGTAAGTTGATTAGAAGCAGAGATTGAAGATTCATGCTTCTATGTACATTTTTTTTTTAAAGAGCATTATTCAGCTCTTATTTTATTTCACAAGAAAAAATACAAGTTCGGGAAAGAGGTCCCAACACACTCACTTTACAATCATACAAAAGAAAATAAAAAAGAAACTCTCTCCAACATGAAAACACAACTCACCCACCCCACAAACACAATAGAGATTCAAACACACAAAACCAAATAAAAAATAAAAAAAGTACACCAAAACAGATAAACCAAACAAAAATAAAAAAAGGACACCAAAACAGATAAACATCCAAAGGGACTCCAAAATTAACCAATATCTTTTAAAGCTACCAGCAACAGATTGTGAGGAGCAGTCTTAGAACCCATAGCACCATTCAGCATCAATCCATATTTAGCCGCCCAATGAGCAACCTTGTTACCTTCTCACTTAATATGAGACCATTGGTTAATCAAATGCTTGGATAGAGCAATAATCCTTCTCATCTGCATATTGATACTCCAATGATAATCTATTTGCAATTGACAACACTTCCATAGAATCAAAAAATTCAGTTTCCATAATAATATATTTCCAATCATAATAAATAGCCACCTGAAGACCAAAGACTAAAGCATCAGCTTCAGCAACTAGAGGAGATTCGGAAAACGCACTTGCCAAGAACCAACAAAGAATAGAGCCAAAAGAATCTCTACAAACTCCACCTACACTACAAACTCCACCTACACTAGTCCACCTACACTAGCAGATAAAGCATTCCAACAACCATCTACATTAATTTTAATAAAAGGCATCCACGGTTTATGCCACTTAACATTATAAAAAATCTTATTATGCACATAAATAGGAATATCCAAATGCTGCATCAACTGCTTCAAATTACCTGAAATCTTGTTGTTAACAGTCAATAACTTTAATCCTTTATACAAATAATTAAAAACCATACTAATAGTACGATGCACATTGGGAAAAATATTGTTGAATTTACTATCATTTCCAGCAAGCCATATAAATCAAATAATAACAGTAGGTATAGCAGTAAAAAAACCAAGACCAAGAAGCCTCCAAGCATTGAAAACATCAGAAATATTGTTATATTGAAACAAATTCCTGTTAAACCTAGTTAACTGCAACTTCATATTAATATCATTCCAAATAGTAGTAGTAAAATGACACTTAATAAAAATATGATCAATAGATTCCTCATTATGATGATATCATTTTATGTTGGTTAAAAAGATATTTATTATGATGGTTACAGTTAGATCCTTTGATTGTATGTTTGGTAATATAATTTTGAATCAAACTCAAGTTTTAATTATTTAATCTATTTAATGAATAAAATATGTATGTCCATTTTCTTATTTGTAATAAATCAATCTAAGAGGCTAATCGTAATATTGACTTCTTCTAAATGAATATTTAACTTTTCATGGAGTTAAATTGATCATCTTCAATTCAGACTGATTCCATCTTATATCAAAATAAGCAATTTATTCACAATGTAAGATCAGTTATTTTGAATGTTATAATTAGAGTAAAGTGCCAAAACAGTCTCTGATTCTTTACATTTGATTATTTTATTCCCATGCTGTATAGAATGAAAAATTATTACGTCTGGACTCCGAACGTAGAGATACGTTTGGAGTCCAATGAATCACCTCCACGTGGAGTTGACAGGAAAAAAAAATTATTTTCTTTTGATCCAACCCGGTAACACAGGAGAATATTCCTCCCGTATTATTTTGCGTTATTCAGATGTTATTGTGGTGGTATTGATATGTTATTGTGTATTGACTAACACGGAATAACACGGGAGGAATATTCTCTTATCCTAAAATGATTTTTTTTTTTTTTTGAATTTTTCTATCACCTTCACGTGACGTGATTTTATTAGACTTCGGGCGTATCTTTACATCCTTAATCCAGACGTAATATTTCTTCTTATAAAACAATCAAAATAGTCCACATACTCTTTAAATTATGGCTGAAATAATATCCATGAAAGACTATTAGAGTTCAATTTTAAAATAGTTCCCACGGTCTAATAATAATTAGGAATATTTCAAATATGAGAAAAATAATTTAATTAGATATCCTCCAATTGTGTTTGAAAATATAGAAAATATCATATAATTATATCTCATCATAACAGGTTACCCAATATCAATCTTCCTAATAGTTTCCATAACGTAAACAGCCACTTAAATCTTGAATCAAATTATGCCTGTATTAAATTTGATTATAATATGTACATAAATATAATTGTATCTCATATTTTTCTAATACTTTCTATAACATAAATAGGCTTAAATTTGTGGCATTGTCTGCTTAAATCAAATTAAGCCTTAATTAAAATTCAATTATAATATTTCAATGCATACTTATTTCATTATACATGTTCTCTTTTTCACCACATAAATAACAGACTTAAGATACATATCACCCAATTCCTACCTACTTACAAATCTAACAATTTAAAATTTTGTTCTTTTTATATTCATATCCCCCAAAATTGTCGTGTCACATCAAAAAACTATGATTTTATAGTTTAAACAGTGAAATAAAAATTAAAATTTAGATATTAGATAGATAAATGAATTTAAAGGAATTGAGTGGTATATATGTAAATTAATCTTCCTTTAATTTAAATATAAATGAATTATTCTCAACAGGCCTTCAATTCTGCCAGACTAGAATTGGAAGTGTTGGAGGAACGACCTGCAGAGGAAGCCGCTAGGGCATTGAAAACCCTGCTACATTTTCTCGACGCTCGGAAGATGTATGCGAGTTAGACTGGACCAGCAAAAACAAAAGGGAAGGGGGATGATTTTTATATTCCCTTTTTCATTATTTATTTATTTTTTTATTTAATGGTTATTTTACTCCTTTTTTTTTTTTTATTTTTTTTTTTTTTTTTGCAATAAATTATCCAAAAGTGAATACATTTAGATTTAGAATCTTACATAATGGCTGATAGGGCTGTTAACGAGTTGGGATTGGTTAGAATGGATTGATTGCGGCTCGTGACTCATTATATATATATATATATATATATATATATATATATATAA